GCTGTGTAACCTCTTCTTGCTGGGTAACTTGGTCACTGCAACAGACATACACCAGGGTAAGGAGCGGTCATGCCAGGCCAGGCAGGATTTGGAGCACAACATCTGCTCACAAACTCTYTTGATTTGATTTTGTTTCTGGCTCCATCCTGCCAAGAGATACCTGTGAAAAACTGTGCTCACAGCTCCACCCATCAGCGCTTCTCTCCCAGGTTTGATCAGCAATGAGCTCTCACMTTCCTTTCCACTGTGTCCTTTTTGCAGCTCTTCTCTGTCTCACTGTCTGCCAGGGTCACTTCTCCTTCCAAAGCAAAGGCCTTTCAGGAACAGCAGATAAAAAAAAAAAACCAGCCCTGGGAACTCTGCATGGCTTGTGTGGGTTTAATGTCCTGACATGATTCTGGCTGTGGGAAGCACAGCAGTTCCCCTGAACACAGTTCCTCGTGCTGGGAGAAACAGCCCCACCACTCTCATCTGACACTGCAGTGCCACACTTGATTTCACACTTGATTCCCCACTTATCCAGGGGCAGAAGGATTGATTTTCCAAGTGACACCATATACTGAACACTGGGGCACTGGAGGTGTAATTAATTAAAGTAAAATTACATCTGCAGGGGAGACACTTACAACATGAAGTGTAATTTGCCTTCTTGGCAGAGAATGTCCTCCCAAACCTGGGGACCCTTTGGGATGTCACAGGAAGAGGGACCTTGATGGAGAGGGGTGCAATATTTGAGCAGAGCTGGCTCCTCAGGCACGGGATGGTGAAGGAAGCTGTCTCATGACCCAGAGTGGTGCAGAGGGTGTCTCTGAGCAGATGGGCAGTCGATGCTTCCTCTGCACTTCTCTTGAATTCCTAGGAAACCAGTGCAATATGCTTTTCAAGTCTGCTGTTCCAGAAGAGCAGCTGAACRCGTGCTGAACTTTGATCGGGTGAGTGTTGGTGTTAATAAGTTACAAACTGACCTGAATGCTTTGCAGGAGCCGAGGGCAGCCTGGGGGAAGTTCTCTGCTTTTCAGTAAAAGGCACCTTTTTATGCCCCATCCCATTCTCATCAGCTTCATTAGCTCAGGCAGCCCCAACAAGCTTGGATGCCAAAATGCCTTTTGTATTAAACTCTGAGCTGATGCAGCCAGTTCTCAGTGCTGGCCTGGGGGAGCAGAGCTGCTGTGCCCCTTTTTGCCTGGGGAAACAGGGAGGGATCATGGAAGAATCATGGAGAGAGGCCAGGAGCTCTGCCACCAACCTGCTGCCCAGCAGGTCTTTCCCCTTTCTTTCCCAGCTCTTTCCCACTTGGTCTCACTTTTTGAAGATGAAGGCCTTTTGCTTGTTTGTGGCTTTTTGCTTTATCTGCTTTCACAGTCTGCTCTTACTTGGTGGCTTTGGGAATGACTGTCCTGTTTCTGCAACTTAGGTGTTGCTGAGAATCCCTTGTCCATCCAATTCTGTATGATTCCTGCTTATAAACCACAAATRTGCTTTATAAGAGCTTCTGAAGCTTCACTGTGAAGCAGGAAAACTCAAGGAAGGAAGTGATCATGTTGAGATTCAAGGAATTTTTATAGGTTCTTTTAGCTAACATATATTCCTGAACAAAGCTTGTCTGGAGATCTTCTTGWTGGTGGCCATAGAAGTTGTTTCCTGCAGTAAGTTATTTAGAATTWATTTAAAATATGCCAAATATAATGAAAAAATGGGAAGAGAAACTGCACTTTGGGTAGRACCTTCCTCTTTAATGACTCCGTAGTACCAGACAACAGTCAGAAACAGTTTTTCCAGAACAAAGCTGGGAAATGGGGTCTTTAGTACTTGTGTGTTGCCTCCTCACCATCCCTGTCCCTATGGACACCCTCAGGCTCCATCAGCAGCCCCCTTGCAGTA